GAAACCCGGCGTACAAATCAATCGGCCACGGAGGCCGTCAAACTAATGTCTAAAATTGGAGCTATCGAATTCGAAGTGAGCTTCTATTTTACAAAATCGCAAAAATACAAATTATGATATTTATTTGTATATTACTTTCGATTTATTTATACATATATTAGATTTTGGAGGTCAAACGCCAACAGAACTGCGAAGGATTTCCAAAAAATATCTAAGCATGCGTGTAGAACATGTAGTGAAACATTCAAAGCTTGAAGCAACACAACGTTGAAACAGTCTATTCAAAGAATCGATTTTAATATCAACTAAGTAAAATACAATATACGTACCTACCTATGTTTAACTAACAGTGGGGAGTACTTGACATACGTACAGACAGACATAGATAATAGCAATAGGGTCCCGTTCTAACCCTGTGGGTACGGTTACAGTTTTTGGATTTTACGGAACGTCTCTTGTTATTTAGCTTTGTTGAGTTAAATAAGCTTTTAAAAAGTTTAACTAGATGGCAGCACTGTCTATGGTCTAAGACACTATGTTTTTATTGTACATCGTGTTCTTGCTGTGCAGTTGAAGAATAAAAGTTTTCTTAACTAATTAATTACCATCTTTTACTTGTTAAAACACCCATATACCAATAAGCTTTTTATAAGGGAAAGTGTTATTTCGTACACTTTTAGGGTTCCAAAGGGTCAAATGGAACGCTATTGCTATCTCTCTATCGTGTGTCTGTCTGTCCGCATGTCAGGGATCTCTAGATCGTAAACGGAATGAGGCACAGAACTGACATTTTGGTATGTAGAATGCTTGCGTAAAGCCGAATATTAAGGTAATGATTCAATTTAATCCTTTTTTCATGGGGGGTCCATGAAAAGAACACGATGTTCCCCCTTTTATCCCAACACTTGACACATCATTGTCTAGAGCTCGTTGTGTAGGATATAATTTCAATTTTTATTATTTTCAAAAACAAAGAAATGGAGGGGCCCCTCAATCTTATTATTTTTTGCCAATTTTTGTTACGGAGTCTATCTCAAAATCAAAACTAGTTAAGAATGTGAAAATTTGGTATATGATTGCTTATATACTGTATTTAAACCAAAAATATTGAAAATACCGAATTATAATGTACTTAAAAGTTGTGGCGAAAACAAACTAATGATTTTTCCTTTTTGATGAACGAACTATTTCATAAGACAGTGATATTAGGTAGCTTCAATAACAGTATAATGTAGTAAGAAGCATAACAAATATTTCAGAAAAATCATAACTTAAATACTTAGTTCATCTACGGAGCCCTAATAGAGCGAAGTCAGACCCGCGCTTGGCCAGTTTTTTTTCATAAATGCAATTGTAGTACGTTCGTAGAAACAGTATTAATTTTCTCTTGTCTCATTCTTTTAATTTTAGATGAGTGACAATCAATAATTATCTTCAAATACTTTTCACGCGTCCAACGAACAGAAATACTTAATAGTTCAGTGTAGGTATGTCCCCATTTCTATCCTTTCCATCTTCTTATTGTGCTTAAACTTTTTGCAGTACTAAATGAGCCAATTATTATCATAACGGGATATTTAAAGATTAACGACGTTAATAATGTATGTACATACCACATATAGGTTTTATATTATAAAGCTCCAATATGCTTCAGTCGGATATTATACCTATAGATCGCGATGATCATTACAGAGAGCGATAGAGATTTGGCGATTATAAACTTAAAAGCCCAGTACTTAAAATCGTAAATTAAAGTGACGATCTAATAAATAATGATTTGAACACGATAATCGCTCTGTTTGTTCTGTTAAAGTCGCGCTGTTCAACACTAATCAGCATTCCGATCTTTTTTGTAGGATCTAGACCAACTAAAAGAATAAACTAACAACTTGTACTCGTGATTTTGAATTTTAACAAAGTGTACCTATGCTATTATTTGTACCCGTTTATTTCTTAACATTTTATTTACGCTATTAAAAAAATACACATAAGTTTATAGGTAAATAAGACCAAACATATAATACACACTAAACTCCAATTGATGCGTATGGAGCTTAATGAGTAAACAAATACTTACATTTATGTAAATAGCATTATGTAAGTACATACTTACTTAAATCGTTACCAGAGCTTATAAAATATTTTTATAGAAAAGAAAAACTCCGATTTTATCCTGCATACTGATTTTTCTCTGTTTTTGTCTTTTTAACCTTGTGGTAATTATTTTGTTACCATTATTATTTAAATCAGTTCGTTTAGGTCACCGGGTAATGCGCATATCTACATTGTTATAGCCTACGCAGACGAGGGACTTTTTTGTCCGCCAAAATAGATCGCTTACAACTGCATCGAGACAACCGAGGACACTGAGGGACCGGACAGGATAAAATTACTTGGGTGTCCCCGAAAAAAGCAGAACTCATGGTGACAAGGAGCAGTAACGCACACAGCGAACTTAAGGGCTTCCACACAAAACTCAGATGCGATGCGATGTGACGACGCATCGCAAGAACTTGTGATGCGAATTGCTGCCATGCGATTTCGTGCGGCAAAGATTTGGTTAAGGTGATCATACCTTCAACGGTAGACAGCCGTATTGGAAGTGTTTTAGTAATAGTGACATGGATCGCAAAAATATTGTTGCACTGCTATTATTGTGAAATAGATAAAGAAGACGCATCGCATGATCTTGTGATGCGAATTGCTGCCATGCGATTATGTTCGGCAAAGATTTGGTTAAGGTGACCATACCTTCAACGGTAGACAGCCCTATTGGAAGTGTTTTAGTAATAGTGGCATGTATCGCAAAAATATTGTTGCACTGCTGTTATTGTTAAATAGATAAAGAAGACGCATCGCAAGAACTTGTAATGCGAATTGCTGCCATGCGATTTCGTGCGGCAAAGATTTGATTAAGGTGACCATACCTTCAACGGTAGACAGCTGTATTGGTGACATGGATCGCAAAAATATTGTCGCACTGCTGTTATTGTTAAACAGATAAAGAAGAAATATAAGATTTTGGGTTCATCCATTAAATTAGATTATGAACGCTGATGCAAAATATTTTACTCGAAAGTTTACTCTTGTTAGATTTGTTAGAGAACAGAAGAAGGTTTTTTTTAAGAATGAGCATATCTTCATTTCAGTGGCTTATGAGTTTATTATCACAATGTCTATAAAAACGAGAAATCTCAGAGCGGCCTAAAATGGTGTCAAGTGTGACGTAATATCTCAGAAATGTGCGATGCGAATCAGCAGCAGCTGTAAAATTTTACAGAATAGCACTGCACGTCGGAAAAAGTCGTGCGACTTTGCAGATATCCGGATGCGATGCGAATTCGCAGTTATGTGCACTTAGTCTACGTTGCGTACTCAATCCGATTTAAGAAGATGGACCCACTATTCATTTTTAAAACGACTTCTCTTTTTCTTAAAATTCAACAACACACGTAATCTGATAATATTTACTTCAATAGCATACGCTTTTTCTAAATTTTCGGGAGAAAAATGTTCAGTTTGCGTTGAGTCCGTGACAAGTCCTCGGCAGACATTTTCTTCTCGCTTGAGGGACTTTTGTCAAAAGTCCTTCGTCTGCGCAGGCCATTTTGCCATTAGCAATGTTTTTATACAAATTATAGACAGCAACTTCTTACATATCATGATGTACATCTATAACAACGATTAATAAACAGATTCTTTCTAGTTATTATCATTTATGTCCTCAAGGAAACTAAGTAAGTATTTGAGCTTTTAACCGTTTATATAAGTACTCTTATTTTTACTGCGCTCGTGATAAGCTTTCGTGTGACTGATTCATTCTTTGCTAATCTGAATTATTAATGAGAATATTTCAAAAGGTCATCGACATTGATTTATTTGCGAAGTTGTTTTGCGGTTCTCTTTAACGTGTAAGAGATTAGGCGTGTGCTTTTGCGATATCAATCATTATAACAAGGAAATCAAAAACATATTTTAGGATCATGAAAAGTACTACATTTAGTTTTAAGTTCACAATAAAACAACATTTTAGTTGATAACAAGTTTAAATAGCCGTGTGTATCTAAAAAATATATTTATAATTCTCTAAATGTGTGGTTAAAATATTTGTCCATTATCACCTTTTGAACCATAGTCTTACTAAAAAATTAGGTCACAAGTTGTAACGTAGTAAATGTGGTTGTGGAGCATCACCAGAACTAACTACATCGTGTGTATTTTAAAGTCGATTGCCTCTACATTTATCTAAATTATAGTTCGTACCGCTACATTTTCTACGAGTTGTTACTCATCAAGTGGTATAAAACTATAAGCGTGCGTGGCCATAAATAAGTAATAAATTCACAGTTTTGAGTTTAGTCATTCACTCCAGCAAAACATTATTAAAAAAATGTCAGCTAAGTACCTACTTGCAGAAGTTTTACTACCTTCCTTTTTTATTTTTTATATTGGTTCCCTCTAAATTTAATTCTCGTTCTTGATATGCAGTGGTAAGTACAAGACAAGATAATCTAATTTTAGAAATTTATCGTATAATCGGCCCTTCAAATTAGGTACTCTGGGCACTAATTTGTGTTCTTCGTTATTACTGCGTCTTTAATAAAGAAATTCCAAAGAGGTGCGTTGACCTCCGAAATCATTCTTTGTTGTGATGCGTGTGAACCCTGCTAAAATAAACTCCATCAATCGATGATACCTCCAGCCAGCGCATTCAACCGTATGTTTGTCATATTTTATGAAGCTTTTGTAACGAAATGTCAGCCGAGCACAAAAGGAGAAAAAGCTCTGTTATCTTTTAAGCCTAATGTAGAGCGCCAGTGTAAAAATATTATAAAGGCGGCCCGTGAAGAGTCCAAAGCATTTTGCGAGGCGACTCCTTGGGGGCCGCACATCCTCGCGGTGCGAACTGCCTTTTCTTTACGATTGGGATTAGTGAATGTACTTAGTTGTAATAAAATAAATAAAGCTAAACAATGGGAACCAAATTAGTAATACTTTGGATGAGTCTCTTTGCGACGATATGCAGTAGTGCCTCCGATGTTAGTAACGGATTTTCCACGAAAGATGGCGGTTATTACACCGATGATGCAGTCATATTAAACGGTGAGCTGATAAATTTAAGATAATATTTATACATAAGATATTGATATAACTACCGTTTTTATCATAATTAAATATTTCATTTTTTTTATTATTTCGAATAAATTACACAAATTCTAGAAACTTTATAGGTACTTGTAAAGTTATTTGAAACTTATAAAATAATAATAAATTTCTTTCTAACAAGAACTGATTTGATAATAAATTGTAATTATATCACGTTAAGCTTAGTACGATCCTTAAATTTTAATATTGACGGATGATAGCCTTATTTTCATTCTTATTTTCGTAATGCCCTTTTGTTTATAAGTAGGAACGTTTAAAAATTCCATTATGTAGGTATGTACACAAACATAAACACCGTCCAAAAGTCACTTTTCTATATTAGAAAACTATATAACTATTGATAAGTCTTGTAAAGTCTAATAAAACAAAAAAAATGTATGGCTGCCTGTTATTTTAAAAATATAATTACATACCTATGTACTGAACAGATAAAAATATTGGAAAACTCATTTCAGCTAACTTTTGTGAAACCTACATCTTTGCAAAGTATATTTATTATTTTCTAGTGAATCACCACTATGTATTCGTATGGTGTGGACACAAAACAATGCACGTTAGATAGTATGAGGTTTTGAGGCTAGAGAAAGTCATTCGCAATCGCAACGGAGATGTCCGGCCGCGGCAAAAATTTTCGGATATAAATATTATTAAATGCCTACTTATACTTGAACTGGTTGTGTTGATCAATAAAACATTATATATGTGGAAAACATTATTGGGCGATTGACATCCTTTTAAAATAAGCCGACAGTTACTGTTATTGTACTGTGACTTCTGCCTACTTCGTGCATAGGTATACATTGAAAAGTAGGTACAAGCATGAGTAATTGCTTCTCTTACTTAATTTTCCTGAACACTTTTGAGATGACTATAGCAATGGTCATCAACCCAGTACCCGCTAACTCTAAGAAACGTGGGCTAGCTAGTACACGAAAAATAACTGCGATATCAATTCAATGCAAATTGTTTGCCTCCCACATGTTAGCAACCACCACATCAATCATTTCTTTGTCGATAGTATTTAAGGCCTGTGCAGATGAGCGACTCGATGTACATAACCTTTTTTTTATACGCTGGCAAAAAATCGATGTACATAACCTAGGATCAATATTGAAACTCTTAATCTGAAGAATGACACGAACAAAGTAATGAGCATAGTATTTTACGCCATTGAAATAAATGTGTTTGTGTATAAATATATGAGACAAAAATATACAAAACACAAAAATATTTTGGTTTTAATATATTAAAGTTTCAACTGTTTACACGTATTTATAGAAAAATATTACGATTTATAAACATTGTACTGTACACTGCCAACCTATAAGGCTTATAATACTATATAGAAAATAAACTTAACAGTGAAAACTTGTTTTATTGTTACATTTTTAGATAAGAGTTTATCGCTGCAGAATAATTTACATGTGAAAACATTTAAAGTATAATTTTTATTATTTTAAATCATGTAACTGCTTGATGTTTAAATCTAAAGAACCGTCTGCTGCCTGGTCCGCGTGGAATTTTTTCTAGTTATATTTTCTTTACATTTAAAGTATGTTTTCTCTGTTTTTAAGAAATATTTATAAATTCTCTGATCATTTAAAAACATTACGCTGGGTTAGTCTTTAAAACTTCTAATCAGCTCTACTTATTACAGTACACATGCTCACGTCAATCATTTGTCTGGTTGACATCACGTCCTTCGAATAAATCGAAATCGACACAGCCGCGGTCGTTGGCTCGTCTGCATGGACCATTAGTCCTTAGCCATTTGCTTGTGTACCTCTTCGTTTTTTGTAGTTGCCACTTTGAGGACATTAATTAGATCGAAGACTAGAGATTGAAACAAGGTGACGCTGTTGACATTTGGCTGAGAACGATCGCTGAACCCGGAAAGTTAAGAACCATCCATTGTCTGGTTGTCAGATCAAAAATTGTTCATGGCCGCGATACAAATACTTAACCATTATGTATGTCAGAGAGATGGCTTGCTTTTTAAAATCTCGAAACACATTAAGGACTTTAATATAAATCGTACTATTTTAAATATTTTGGATTGCAATGCCTACTCGCTGAACGACTTTTATTCAACTGTCAAGTTCAAGGATTGCTCAAGGGCAATAATCGGTCTGCTTTTCAATAAAGTTAATTAAAAGCTATTTTGTGTGCCTTGTAATGTAATCTTTGTTCTGAATGTTGTATGGTTTATATCAGTCTTTTACTTTATTGGCAAAGATTATAATTTTCTCGTGTTTAGTACTGAATCTTTAAACAACATTGCAGTAGGTGGTCGCAAAAGATTGGATAGGTCGGTTATTAACATCTTAGTTGCTAAATATATTTACGTTAAACTTTATTAATTTTTCTTTGTGCCCATTCTGATTTTACTGTTTTTTTTTTAATTAATAATAAGTAACGATTAACGAATTCAGTATTTTATACAAAACAGCCCATATACGCAGGATATTGTTTTATTTTTCTAAATACAGATTCAATATACATAACACCAAATACATACATTTATTAGTCACTATTATTAGCATCTTCGTCCGTACAAACTCTTCATATATCAAGTCTACAAACAAAATATTTAAAAAAACTAAATATCTGCAGGAAATACATAACATTCCAGATTAACACACCGCAGGATTTCTATTCGAATTCTAAAAGCGCAACCAAAAAAATCTGGGTACAATGCGAATCGCATCGGAATCCAATAAAATCGTTACAGTATAACGGAAACCGTTACTTTGTAGTACCAAATAAATAGCATGTTTCTTACGCATTTACATAATACAAAAAGATTGTAACTAATTGTGTGAGAACTGTAGAATATTGATTAATGTTTTCTTTTTTTAAATCTTTTAGTTAGTGAACTAACACACATTTGAAAAAAATATATAAGAAAGATTAGATTAATATTTCAATAAACAAAATTACCGTTTTAACTAAAAAAAATCAAAGATCGATGGTACTTCAGATGTAAGTACTTTGTGTGTGACTCGTTGATGTCTTTTATACTTATACTATGAAAATAAACTTTTTGTAATTTTCAAATAACTGAACTTTATTTTTTAGTGCAGAGAGCTGTGTGGTTTAGTGAATATCTAATACTGGGATCCCAAAATACAAGTATCCTTCAGAATTATAAATACTAATTTTACTTTATAAAAATTTTATACTTTATAAAAAAATAATCCAAAAGCCAAATCCAAACTTTTTCATATTGTTTTGGGCCTGCTTGTTTCCGATGATAGCTACAAGCGTCTTAGTTTGATGTCGGCCAATAGTATAAATAAATTAATATCTTCATTTCCGCATCATAAGATAAACAACCTATAAATCTTTAAAAACATATTTTTATTTATTCAACCTCATTTACGTACTGCTCATTCGATTCTGATTTTAAATTGTGTTATAAATCCTTTTCTGTCAATCAAACATGTAACAAATACTTTAACTGTAGACTCTGATAATTGAGTTATTAACAACCCATCTCATACAAAAGTAAGAAATATTTTATTACTAAACCTTTATTTACATTTAAAGTGCATTTCATGGTAAATAAAACAAATTTAGAGTCGATGCCAACCAAAAACACGGCTGATTTTGCCAGTTATGGCGCCGAAATTTTCGAAATGTCGCTAATTTAATTTAATGTGCACTTTAGGTATAAGTAAAAATACTATAATATAATAATCTTAATTTTATGTCATTTTATTTATTTGAATTCGATTTTTGTAAAAGAAAATATTTTTTCGTTTTATAAATCAGAGCAACATTAGCTATTTATATGTATCGTTTTGAAATCTAATTCAAAATTTAGTACTTGTATTTCATAAAATAACCAAATAATAGATACTTCTATGTTTTTTGAAGTCTGTTAAAAAGCCCTAATATTCACTGAATTTCACATTGAAAAAGGAACATAACATTTCGTGAAAAAGTACTGAACATTTCGTATTACTGACTCGCATCTGGATGATTTTTATTTTTGGAATTCCATAAAAACCGATATCTGTATTAAAACTTTAATAAACAAGATTGAAATAACATCAAAAGATTGCATCACATAATAAAAGCCCAATCTTATGTTACATTTTGTTTTTATCTTGCGTTACTTTTTAATAACATACATTTATCTTCTGTTACTTCATTTATTTTATAAAAAGGAGTGCTCTTTTGATCATTATATTTTGAATATGAAACTGCTTAGATTTCAATGTCGAGTTTTTTTTTTATTAGAAAAAAATCAGTTAGGCCCATTAACCAGCCTGGATCCAGCCTAAGTGCCGTACTTTTAGTTATATATAATAAAAAACAAATTGTATATTTCATGATGACTCTTGGATAGTTATTAAATTATGAAAGAAATGTTTTTAAATACAAGTCGTATAATGTGGCCGTCGGACATTCCGCTGCTTACCTTTTATTAAGTGATTGGACCCAATCCCAAAATCCTAAAGTCTTTGTATAGCCGGTTTTGTCAGCTCACATACAACATACTTTGTCGATTACGGTACTTACCGTGTAAATGACTTCACCGTTACTTAAAATTCGATGATGAAGTATAAATAAATAAATTAGATAGCTGACTGCCAATAAAGGTAACTACATTCCAATGAAGCTTATTAGTTTTATGGTTCACTCAATTAATTTAATGGGTTTTGGATTTGTAGTAGGAAGTAAAGTTTTTTGCAGGTCTAGGTTCTCTGCCTAAATTATAGTCTCTACGGTTTGCTTTAAACGAGAACATTACTAAGCAACGACAAAATGTGTTTTAAATTACTATAAAATCATCTATACTTCTTTTTTATTGTTTTGCTACAGTTTCGCTGCTAGCTCCAGTTAACCTTGATAGTATCACAGAGAGAACATGGAAGTCGAAAACCTTGGGAGTCCACGGCTTAATCAAGAATCACGCTCATCGAGTGGGCACTGCACCCGCACGTCTATTTTTATACGCAACTATGCATTTATAGAGCGGACTTGACTTTGTTTTACCAGTTCCTACTTAAAGTTTTGTCCGCAAAAAGAATCACGGTCTATTATATCGTCAACAAAGTAGGTACTTTATTTGAAGCACCGTATTCAGGGTAATTCTTAAGCAACATTGTTGATGAACAGCGAGAGTGCTGCAAAATTGTGCTAAAATCCTGCACTAATGTTATCATTCACTTATGAGCAACCATCCGTTGTTATTAGACAAATATTTATGAACTATGAACTCAGGGCTTCGACTTTAAATATTGTGGAAATAATATTCGACCCTCTCGCAAGACGAACGAACACAGACACATGTTAAGTAAAATTCTAAGTTTAAATCTCAAATCCATTTTTTATTTTGATAATTTATTCATAACTGAGCGCTATGGGCAGAGGCTTTTAAAAATTGATCAATTTTAACGAATTCAAGAAATAAATACGAATGTAGTTTAAAACCGGTAACTGAATATAGCTTGACCAACCCTTCTCCTTGTTTTATTACTTGATAGATAACTTTATATTCTATAATACTAAAAAACCTTCGCAAACAACGAAAAAGTTTACACTCGTGATAGTAATCCTTTCAGTGACGATTTATTTTCATATACTTAGTTTCATTTATTTATATATTGTTACAGCGGCAGTTTCTCGATCAAGAAGAGATGCACAGAATAACACCCGTGATGGGAAACAATTTATCCTATTCCAGACTAGAACGGTTAGTTTAATTATCTTTATTAGTGAGAGAATCTGATGGCAGAGGTTTGCGATCGGTCATTGATCGTGGAAGCTAATATACGTAAGCATATTTCGCAATGGCGGGTCATCGTATTAAAGTGACCAAAATTTTATTATCTCGAACTCCATGCTCCTGAAAGAAGTTAAGTCGTATGACCTGGATTCTTTTGCATTCGCCCAACAATCCGCACTGGGTCATCCATAGTAATCTTACAAACCATCGTTGCCAAACCAATATTTGCTATGTGCACTTTTTGGAGATTTCGATATTTCCATCATTATGGCTAGTAAACTCTATTATTGTACTAGTCGATTTCGAATTCAAAGACTGCTATGCGAATCTTTAGCATTATCACGGGGAGCAGAGGGTGCTATCTGTATCAGCCAAAATATTGCCAAATATGAATTGCTATGTCAAAGTATTTTCTTGCACATAGCAGATATTGGTTTGCCAACGACGAAATGCGAAACTGTGTCTGTCTGTTACCTCTTCATACTTCAACTGCTGAACGGACTACGGACTGTGTGCGGAGCAGATAGACACTCTCTCAATATTAATATGGACGGATTGTAGCCGTTTCACTGGTTCGAGATTTTCTGACATTGTGTTAAGTGTAGCAGAGTGTTTAACCCCTTCCGGCCTGGACCTATAATCCCCTACCACATGGTGTTCAGGAACTTTACCAACAGAAGCACCATACCGTCAATAGGCAAAGCAGTAAAAATTTGCAAAATTTGTCCGTAGATAGTGTTATTATAGACTGCCGACTACTATTCAATATTTTTTTCTACCTAACAATAATGATAGTCTGCAATATACCGACATTTTTATGTTCTAGGCTGACGAGGGTGCTTTCGGGCAGGATTGCGAGACCACACTGGGCAAAAAGGGGACATGTAAAGAATTCCGGGAATGTTACCCCTTAATCAAGGTCGTTGCCCTCAATGGCGGCGATGGGTGGGTAATGGGCCACTATGACACTTGCAGTTATATTAGCGGTGATAACATGGAAGTGAGTAAACCAAGCACATAATACACAAAATATTTTTCTAGGTTTGGTCATATCAAAACTGGATAATTAAAAAATGATTTATCTAACACTTACTTTATAGTCGGAAGTGTTCTTTTATAAATCTTATCTTTTGTTTATTTCCAGTCTTGTGCATTTCTTAATTCTGTATCTAGAAATATAAATTACCTACACTAAGATTTTAAATCTTATCTGATTTAGTATTCCAAAAGTACAAATAAGCAAGAGAAATTTTCAATTAAAATCTAATTTTAATTTTAGGTGTTCGGTGTTTGTTGTACGGAACCTGTAGGCACGCCACCGCAGCAGGAGCCGGATGTCCAGCGGTTAGGCGTCCTACCACCGGCCGTACCAATGCAGTTACCACCACAGTTATCAAGGCAAGATCTGAATAAAGAATAGAAGATAAAGCTCTGTTCAAAAATATGCGACTGCTTAGTTGAGGCGTATTTACCCTAAAACCAACAGTGCAAATCTTAAGCGGCCCGGGATCCAGATTTAAAATACGCCCCTGCTTCGCGACGAGCAATGAGAACAAATTAATGTACTCGTACTAAACTGTTAGAAAGATGCTACGAGGCGAAGCCCCATCGCTATGGGGTTCTTCCAACGACTACACAGACCCTAGACTGTGCCCTAAACACCTAAATGATAGGCAAATATACCCGACAACACATCTGACTAATAAATCTGATAAATAGTCCCGCAGGATAATATTTAATCAATGCCAACCATTTTCGTACGCGTTCGGAGTGCAAAAAAGGGAAAAATGTCTAAATGTACCATCATCATATCATTACATGACCTTATGACCTTGTATTAGCCGATCAAGGCGTAGTCCCATCTGCTGTATCTTGCCCCTGGCAGTTGTCAGAATGAGTTTAGTACTGAAAATATAAAGTTAGGCGTCTAGATACTGTGATAGTCGGCGGGTTATCCGCTGTGTTAGCCGATCAAGGCACAGTCCCATTTGCTGTAACTTGCCTCGGGCAGTTGTCAGAATGAGTTTAGTACTGAAAATATAAAGTTAGGCGTCTAGATACTGTGATAGTCGGCGGGTTATCCGCTGTGTTAGCCGATCAAGGCGCAGTCCCATCTACTGTAACTTGCCTCGGGCAGTTGTCAGAATGAGTTTAGTACTGAAAATATAAAGTTAGGCGTCTAGATACTGTGATAGTCGGTGGGTTATCCGCTGATATAGATTTCTTTTGTACAGTTTCCACAGAGGTGTCTTATCAGCACTGTCTCCGGAGTGGGCGCTCGGCGGCGGGCTCAACTTCCGCCAGATACCTGTAGGGTGGCCACCAGCAATTCCGCCGCTGCCCACGCATCCTCCAGACCACACTGCCCCTACGCACCCGCCTTCGCTAGGTTCGACATTTTAAAAAAATCAATATGTATACCTCCTTTTTTTTGTATTTTCAAACTTAATACGAAGTTCGGTTTCGTTGAAGTTGTCAATATTAATTGCAATACCTACAAAAATATGTAAGTTAGTATTTATTTCTCAAACAGGGTGGCCACCAGCCAATCCGCCTCTAATCACACATCCCCCAGACCACACTGCACCTTTGACATTTTCAATATTTTTATTACCAAATTCAGTAAAGTCCAAGTAAGATTAACACGAATAGCTAATACCTACTAATAGATCTAGCTAGACACTTGTCAACATAATTGCATAAAAAAATATTACGTATAGGATGGCCGCCAGCCTTCCCGTCGCTACCAACTCACCCTCCGGACCACTCTGCTCCTACGCACCTTCGTAGGTTCAACATTTTCAATAAACTTGAAATGAGTGTTTTACCAAGATAAATACTAAGTTCACTTAAGTCGAAGTAGGATTAACTTTGAACGCTCGACGAACGCTCGACTAAGGCTGCGTTTCCACAAAAGTAGAGCAGTCTTAAAGATTTTTTTCAATGGTCATTGCCCAAAATACTTTGCGCAAAATAATTTCTTTAAGACTGCTCAGCACCGCTTCTATCTGCTTACTAATACAGCAATATACAGTTATTTTCTCTATAAGTTAGGCCTCACATCAACGCAAAATAAAAAATCTAGTAGTTACGTCATATCATAAAACTATTATTTTTCCTTTAGTTGCAGGAGTTACTACCAAACCACCCACTAGCACAATGGCTACTACCTGGCCTACTAGGCCGCAAATGACCACCAAACCGACAACCAAGCAAGTATGTAGACCAAAATCAGGAGGTATCAATTTTATTCCGTTGCCTATGTACCTAGTGAATTTTAATGCCGCAACTTCTACTTACAGACGTGGCCTCCGATGTATCCAACGCAGCCAACCAGACCACCTGCGCATCCCGTCGTCGACGGTTCTTGTGGCAACAAAAATATCAGGGTAAGGAAGAACTCTAACCGATTATTATAATAGAGTCACCTGCTTCACAACAATCATCATATGAAAACATTATAACAGAAAAATTATGAAAGCTGCAAAATCATCATCACCCCCAGCCTATTAATTTCCCCCACTGCTGAGGCATAGAATTTTCCTATGGCATGGACAGGGAGAATAGGTCAGGACCAGCCTCGCGGACCCAGTACGGATTAGTGGGAGCGAACGACTGCAAATGCAGCTGGGATCAACGACTTAGCAATTACCACGATCGCAGACCAAACATGCTAAACCACCTGGCGCATAAATCTCGGGCTGCAAAAAGTACCACATTGTTATACACTATTAGTTTGACCGCTGATTTCGCGGTCCATCCACTACAAACGAGTTGTTAATCACTATATGTAGTACCTACCAAGTTTATAAATTATTTTGTTCTCTTAGAGTATAGAGACAGACGACGAGCGCATTGTGGGTGGCCAGAACGCGGAGTTGAACGAGTGGCCCTGGATAGTAGCGCTGTTCAACGGCGGCCGGCAGTTCTGCGGCGGCTCGCTGATAGACGACAGGCATGTGCTGTCTGCGGCTCACTGCGTTGCCCAGTAAGTATACAAAGACAGATGACGAACGCCTTGTGGGCGGCCAGAACGCGGAGTTGAACGAGTGGCCCTGGATAGTGGCGCTGTTCGGCCGGCAGTTCTGCGGCAGCTCGCTGATAGACGACAGGCATGTACTGTCAGCAGGTTCACTGCGTTACCTACAGTAAGTGTTCAGTAAACAGATGGCGACCGCATCTTGGGCGATTTTGATATCGAGTGGCCCTGTTTAACGGCGGCCGGCAGTTCTGCGGTGGCTTACTAATAGACGACAGGCATGTGCTGTCTGCGGCTCACTGATTTGCCTAGTTAGTGTACAGCGACAGATGACGAGCGCATCGTGGGCGGTCAGATCACAGAGTTGAACGAGTGGCCCTGGATAGTGGTTCAACTATAAATCTATAAATAAGAACTTTCAATGATCACTCACTCACTGAATTTGACTATCATGTGCACATTGACACGTTCATCGAATCATACAGAACATTTTTGAAGTGGAAACTTCTTTAGCGGCGTTGTACACTTTTTTTGGTATGGGTAAAAAATGTTAAACTCGCGTCATGACACGAGAGCTGATCGCATCATAGGTCACGTGTTCTGATCGTAAGACGAAAACAATAAAATTGGAAAGGTTGACTGAGTGTTGACTTTCAATATATTGGACGAAACATAGTAATATATTATTTTATCGTATTATAATAATAAGTCTATAACTAGGACGTCCACCAGGTGGCAGCTTTATTGCGAAGAAAATGCATTTTTTTACAATAGATGTCGCTAGGTGCGCTTATGTGATTCATGTAAGTTGATATTGAAGTGGAAACTTCTTTAGCGGCGTTGTACATTTTTTTGTAATGAGTAAAAACTGTTAAACTCGCGTCATGACACGTGGCCTGATCGCATCCGGACACCTGACAATCGAAAATTCGTAAGACGAAACCAATAAAATTGGAAAGGTTGTTGACTTTCAATATATTGGATGAATCATAGTAATATTTTATGTTATCGTATTATAATAATAAGTCTGTATCTAGGACGTCCAGGTGGCAGCTTTATTGCGAAGAAAATGCATTTTTTTACAATAGATGTCGCTAGGTGCGCTTAAATGAGAAATTCTGAGATAAACTTTTTAATGTAATATAAATTGTCATGTTTGTGTAGGAAAGCGCAATAAATAAATGTTGTATTCTACCACATAAATGATAGTACTTTTATTCTAATAATTAAAGAAATTCGTGCAAAATTATTCAAGTTTTCATTTCTGCCGGCGCTGCTTAAAGTATCTACCTAAAACTCGACTAGTTGAAATGCACCCTTTAATTGATAGTTCTCGTATCTATTGCATGTGGGCAACTCGTTAACAAATTATCACTACCTGAGTACATACAGTGGTAGTCATACAGTGGTAGACATAATTCAAGACACCACCTAAATTAACCACAAAAAACTTACTTACGATACTAACATACGCTAAAATTGGTATTTAATCCAGTTTAATTGCTATTTTTATTATATTGTTTTATTAGTATATTTTACAATTTGTCTATATTTTTCAATTTGTTTCTTTAGTTTAGTTAGAAGGATTTTAGAGATAAAAGTAGGTAACTATATAAGAAAGTAGGAAGGTGAACATCAAATCAGAGAAAAACTTAGTTGCATCGTCAGTTACATTAGTCCCGTAATGTTCCCACTGCTAGGGCACAGACCTTCCCTTTGGTTTAAATTTGGGATTGGATCATGGACCCGCTGCAGGTGGAGCCGGGGCCAACAGCTTAACTACGAACGTGTTTTCTGAAGCACAAAGAAACTCAACATAAATTTCTGGTCATCCATCCTATGACTGCTCATTGCGAAACTTACATAGTTGCAGGCCGAACGCGCTTACCACTTGTGCCATCTAGCATATCAGTTCATTGGATATTACTAACGAATACCAGCGCCTGTTCCCTTATAGTATTTTTCGATATTTCGTGATCGTTATCATCGCGCTCTAAGTCGTCGCAGAACAGAAGCTCAGCTAAGAACTAGACTATATAACGCACCTTTATTCAAAAAAAGAAATAACTCAAAATTTCCATTTTTCGGGTTTTCGGCATAAAGTGAACTAACTAATTAGAGTCAATGCGCTCAGTTCAACAGCCGTTTCGATACGATGAAAATGAAAAAGATAGAAGACCATCGTTCTCTTTTCTACAAACGGGTTAGCAGAAGTCGATACTAAATAAGTGATCGAATTCAGTGTTACGCCAGCTTCGTTGACAGTAAGGTCTCTAAAGATTTTTGGATAAACGTAATAACTCTAAATATAGCGGTGTTATACTATCAGGTAAGTATTTATTCTGGTTAATTATTTTAAAAAAACTGTGTATCTTGAGACTTAAATCTGCTTAATTGAAAAAACGTTCATATTTTTAGAGGTTCATTGGGATTTGTTACAGTTCCCTATAAAATATTCAGGTGCTATTTCTGTAGCACTTTGAGTTAATGCACTTTTTTATTAAATTATTTAAAAAAGCTTTAGATAAATAAGTATTGTTTCAGTATTACAGTATTGAATTTTTAGAAACTTAGTACGATTAGTTTTGTTTCAGTTTATTATTTATTACTTAAATACAATGTAAGTGTCTTCGAGAGTAATTTTCCTTTTTAACTAAAGAAGTTAAAAAAAATATGCGTAATTATTAAACGAAAATTAAATTAATAATTGTTAATTATACCCTATTAAGAATTTTAAGTAGCTACTATACATTATTCTGTTTCAGCTTTTAAGATGGCTTCGAGGGCACGAAGAATATTGGGTTTATTTGTTAAAAGTACAGTTGTGGAAGATAAAGATAGTTCTTTCAGTTATAATTCGAATAAAAATAACAATTAAGATTCTTATCTCGAGGTGACTTTCTTTAATACTCTTACGTATCTACCTATTAATTAAGTGGGTATATTTAATTTTAAAATTATTAATTTCCACTGATCCCTGAACAAGTTTAACTTTAATAAAGCATAATTGGTTTTAACAGTAAGTATAATCCGACTAAATGTTTCTTTAAATTCGTGTAGTGAAATACAGTACGTAAATATTAAAGTAAGTAATAAGAACTAAACAGCAAATTGATTCTAGTATTATTTATTAATAATATTTTTGATCACAGAATTCACAGCGTGAAATAAAACAACCCAACATGAGTCTAGTATCTTACTATGACAGTGATATTACCATATAAGATAATGAACATCAGACACAATGCTTCACTACAGAAGCAGAAAGTTATAATAAAGAATTTCGTGTACGTCATTTGTTGTCTTCAAGTAGCTCGTCATCTACATATTCGAGGTCACTCTCTTCATGTTCAAACACATCTTCTCCTGATACTTTGACTAGTTTTGATGTGACTAATTTAAATAAAGCAAACTATTTACAATATAATAAACCTGGACACAATGACAGTCATGACTATAAATGAAACCGAAGAAGCGTATTCACCTGCAATTGAAAACATTCCCCCGCAGCATCTATTCTAGCCTATTCTAGTCCACTGCTGGACATAGGCCTCTCCAATTGCACGCCACTCAGATCGATCTTGGCGTACTCGCATCCAGCTCCTGCCAGCCACCTTGCGCAAATCGTCACTCCATCGTGCCTGAGGACGATGCAAGGCAAACGTAGTGTAGGACACTACGTTCGCCTAGACGCGGTCTCCACTCCAGAACTCGTCTACCGCTGGAGTAGACGAATTATCGGTTATCGGTTCTTCGGCAAATATGGCCAGCCCACCGCCACTTCAACTTGCTAATGCGGTGGGCTATGTCGATGACTCTGGTACTCTGTCGGATTACCTCATTTCTGATACGATCCTTCAGAGAAACGCCGAGCATAGCCCTTTCCATAGCGTGCTGAGCGACTTTGAACTTGTGGACCAGCCGTACCGTCAGTGTCCACGTCTCGGCTCTGTATGTTATCACAGGTAGGACGCACTGATTAAAGACTTTCGTTTTTAGGCACTGTGGGATCAACGATGTCAGGACTTGTCGTAGCTTCCCAAATGCTGCCCAACCTAGCTGAATTCTTCTATTCAGCTCGTCCTCAAAGTTGTTTCTACCTAACTGTAATGTCTGCCCGAGGTATACATATTTTTGAACAACTTCGAGAGCGGTACCGTGTATTGCAATCGGTTCCGGTAAAACATGTTCATTGAACATGACCTTGGTTTTATCCAAGTTCATCCGTAGGCCGCTGCGTATAGAAGAGTCAGCCAGGTCATTCAGCATTTGTTATAGGTCCTGCAGGGTTTCTGCCATGACGACATCGTCGTCAGCAAATCGCAAGAGAGAGATGCGTTCGCCATCTCAATCTTGAAATAGAAAGATCGTAATTAAAAATGTTATGCACTATAAAACTTCCTAGAACTTTCAATTGTAATTCTTACATTTATATATTTTTAGGTATTAAATCGTTGTATCGGGGACCATCTTAATTATTATACGTCTCCTGTAAATATTGATGGTGTCATGACATTTATAACTTGGAGATTAAAGCAAAAATAGGAACTACCTTATTAATCAGTCATTATCTTCGTCGACCAGTTCATCAAATTCTAACAGAGCAAATTAAAAAAAAAAGGGCGTGAGCATTTTAAAAATCCTGCCAATGGAAGCAGAATAAGATAAAACGTAAACGCATACAAGGCAGATATTGGTGTCAACTCTGACATCGTTTTCTAAACCTTAACAAAATTTGACAACAGTTTATCCTTGTCATTCTCTACACAGAATGAAAAGAAGAGACTGATGTTAAATTTAGTTTTAAGTTTAGAGAATTATGCCAGTATTGACACCTGTATGTATATCTAGCAAAAAGTCAGAAGAATTTGCCATCCCGTTATCTGAAAGAACCCTTCACATAATATAAGTGGCGGTAGAATGCACAATTTTTTCGAATATTTTGGGATTTTTGTGTCTTGGCTAAACAAAAAGCACATATAAGTGCAAGTATGATGCTCTTGTGTGTGGGCATATATTAAAAGCTTTACTCGGACAATTGCTGTGGCCAAAAGAAAAATAAACAATTACATTTTTATAATTTCATGCTATTCAAATATTAAACATTTAGTGTATTTAACACATAAACTCCATATAAAAGGACATACCCAGTATGATGCAGATAGCATGCATAGCATCATAGAAAAGGAAGTAAAAAAGAGCTTAAGTCTGGACGGATATATAAACCGGATCAATTTAATGCTTTGATAAAGAGTGTTGTTATCATATTGATTATACTTAATTAAGTTTTGATAATTATGTTTAAGTTTTGTTTTACAACAGACCTTGTCACAAAAGGATTGATCCTTTTTGTCCTGCAGTGTTCTAAAATTATATTTTGTAAGTGTTTTAAGTTTTAATCAAAAAAAAGATCTCAATTATATAAGTTAAAACTGATTATAATCATGAGAGTATAGTTTTATATAAATTCTTTACGTTTTATAATTTTAATTATGCTAAATTTTGTTGTTTATTTGTTGAGAGTTATTTTTGTTTTGTTTTACGACTACAAGTTTACTTTATGGTTATTATTAGTAAATTGACAATTCAATCCTTTTTATTAAACCATGATCCTTTTCAATTGTGCTGTATAAGGATTCTATATTATTTTTATTGCATGATAATTACGGATAAAATAAAGAATTACAACATCAGTTTTAATACCATCAACTATATTTTTTGCAAATTTCAATGAATAAATAGAAATAATAAACAATTTATAGTCATTTAATTAATTTCATTAGTAGAATACTGTACAAAATCAAAATATAACATACATTTTTCAAGTATACTAAACAAAAAATAGCAACTTTTGATATTACCTCGCGTATGTCCATACTTCGCGATTTTATTTTTCGGCCTAAAGTGAAATAACTTTGAACTTTTTTTATAATGTTTATTTTGTTGTTTTTCCTTTAAAAAATTTGATAATTTTGATAGTTGGTATAAAAGTTAAATAATTATACTAATAGAATCTACTTTTAGAATTCACCTAAATAATTTCATTCTTTTTTTATGACAGATTAAAGTTGCTTATACAAATCAGTCAAACTTTGATTGCGTTTTCCCACAAAATTGAAATTTTGACTTATTTCCTTTTTTTGACTAAAGGTGCGATAAGACTAAGAATCACAACAAGACGAATTCAGCACCAGGTTTCTTTGTATTTTTACCTTTATTGGAAGCTATTTATTAATATTTTTTTATCACAGCATGACTTCGTGGGATGTCGCAAGATTAACGGCAAGACTGGGAGACCACAACATCCGTATAAACACAGAAACACAACACATTGAAAGGAAGATCAAGCGAGTTGTGAGGCATCGGGGTTTCGACATGCGGACTTTGGTAAATAAGAACTAAGCACATAAATAATACTTATCTTTATTGTATTGTATATTTTTAATTCCTTTCTCTATTTTTAGTACAACGACATAGCTATATTAACTGTGGACCAACCAGTACAGTATACTAGGAACATCAGGCCAGTATGTTTGCCAAGTGGAGGACGAATGTACACCGGTCAAACGGCGACTGTTATAGGATGGGGAAGTTTGCGAGAGAGTAAGTACCACCTTACCCTTTAGTAAGTAACGTTTTGGTGGAATTTTTGCTTTTAAGAAGATTAGCTATGAAGCATCCGATTTCAAATCCAATATCACTAACTGACCAACCAGATGGACAGCACATGTGGTCAATACGAAACACATCCACTTTACAAAAGACCACCAATGAAAAACCACTGCCATGTTTGCCTGTCAGTAAGTTTCCAGGGCTCCAAATGGAAGAAAATAATGCCAGGGTATAATGATACTCTGGCATAGCAAGCGTCTAAAGTCAGCGCCGGATTTAGAGACGTGGAGGCCCTGGGGCAACGTGGCGCCTAAATCAGGGCCGGGATTCAATTTGCAATTCAATTTGTTTCTGTCAGTAAGTAACGTTCCAGAGCTCCACGGAGTAAAGTATTGGGTCAGGGTAGGCAACAACGGTGATTGCCACATAAAAAAATCAGTTTCGCTACACATCCTTGCTCCACTCATCTTCATGTGGTGGAAGGAAACGCAATCTACAGCTTGTTTGACATTATATCTATAAACAACAATAATTATCTTTATTATGACAGGCGGACCTCAACCAGCGACCCTGCAAGAAGTGACAATCCCGATCTGGTCTAACTCTGACTGCCGCTTAAAGTATGGAGGTGCCGCGCCCGGCGGCATCGTGGACCACATGCTGTGTGCAGGGAGAGCCAATATGGACTCGTGCAGTGTAAGGAATATTTTTAATCATCATTGTCTTTGTGGGAAAAACTCTTAATAAACGTACCCCTTTTTTGCTTATATACGATATTAAATACCCTAGATACAGCACGAACAAAATCGTGGCCGAAACCTGTCCAAAAGGTATGTACGATCCACGGAGCTCCGTAAGATGATCGCGAAGTCAAAAAAAAATTAAGGCATTATTCTTTAAACATTAAAAGACACCTTTAATCCATACTGTATAAGGTCTTAATTAAAAAGTATGCTGCAAAGAGTTCTGCCAGTGTGAAATGCAAGTTCGTAAAATTTTACGACTTATTGCTATATTCGTAAGAATGTAGACCTTACTTCTTTGATTCTACGCGCAATTCTGAATGCGCTATTAACAAAATAGCAGGTACGGACCGCGAGGAAAAGAGACGGCTATATTACCGACCATGCATTTGAATATCACAAATATTTTCTATTCAATCGGTTAATATAGTTAGTATTAGACAAAATTTGTTTCAAATGTGTTAAATTAACAAACATTGATTAGATACCTGTCGAAAAAACTACAGTTTATATACTATAAGTATTTTCTTCGCCATTTTTCACGGAGCTCTGCGGCATCTTTACTTTTCAACGGTCCGCGCGTGACTGTGAATCAAGAAGCGCTCGAGTCGTGTTCAAGCACTTCTTAATTGGGACACATTTTGAGAGTACGTGGTAGGTATCTAGGGTATTATATATCGTTGCTTATAAAGCAACCTGCCGCCTGAAGTAAAGAGGCGCCGCGCCCGTAGGTACAGTGGATCACATGCTGTGTGCCGGCAGAGCCAACATGGACTCGTACATTATATGAAAAATTTTATTCATCTTTATCTTTATGTGCAAAACTTTGGTGTGAAACTTTACATTTTACCCAAATCACAAATCACAATTTGACAAACGTGACGTGATGTGTGTCCAAAAACTTATTATCTCGAACTCCTCCATGGTTCGAAAGGCACGATAAGCCATTGGTCCCGACTGCAACTGCATTCGTTAGCATCCAGCAACCCGCACTGGGCCCGCGTGGTGGCTCACGTTCCAATCTTCCTATTCCACCCATAGGGAAGGTCTTTACCCCAACAGTTGGGACATTAAAAGGCTGATAATGTTGAATATTTATTTACAGGGTGACAGCGGTGGCCCACTTATGGTCAACGAAGGAGGCCGATGGACTCAAGTGGGCGTGGTCTCGTGGGGTATCGGGTGTGGCAAGGGCCAATACCCGGGTGTCTACACAAGAGTCACCGCGTTCCTGCCTTGGATACAGAAGAACTCCAAATAGAATAACTTATACTTTTAGAATACAGTCCAGTTTTAAAAATGATGATGATGAAAAATGAGTAGAGGACATTTTGGCAAAAGGCATAATTTGACGGCAACGGCATTAATTTCGATTTCTTTAGTATGTGTAGCAAAATACATAAACACTTTTAAAGCACTGCCGTAACGAACTAATCGCATTTTTTCTCGAAATCTTAAGTATGAATGGCAAAATGTACAATAAATACTCTGCAAAAGGTTCTTGAGGACTTTTAAAACGATTAGGCGGATGTGTGGATCTTGGTGCTGCCACTTGGTGCGCCCATCATTCAATTGTTACTTAGCAATAATAGCGATATTCGTAGTGCTATTATGGAGTGCCTACGTTATGTCCTTCAACTGGTACCTAAATTTTGTTACACAGCAATAAAAGCTATTTTCGTAGTGAATACTTAACATTGCTTTTGTCTCGATTGTATACAAAAAAAGAGGCAAACTTCTTGAGCAACGACCATAGACAAGCCAAGACAAGAAGGCTGCGCGTAGCAATTTTACTTTCAAAACGCCTACTGCGCAAGTTATTTGTCTGTGGTTTTGCTCAAGAACTGCAACTGCAAACTGCAACTGCCTACACTTAAGCCTTAATCAGAAAATCGTATCGATTTCATTGTACACATCAATCGTTTGAGAAAGACAACACAACCTTGCCTTTCTTAATAAATTGGTGTCTACCCATTTGGAAAATTAATGGTCGTACTTTTAAGTAATAAAAGATGTTATAAAAAATAATATAGCATTTTCATTTTATTTATTTATACGCTCCGAATATAAATTTTATAAGTTTATATACATTAAAATATATCATTACATCATCGAGTTGGTTATTCAGTCTTATGCATAGTATAAATACAGTACACAGCAGTATAGTTCAATCATTTGAATATAACCGTGTTTATAACTGTCCACTTACACGAAATATTAATATTGTACCTACACTACATTTAATTTATTATACTGGATATAGGAATATATGAGTACTTTACATATCGAAGTTGGAGACTTGCAGCTGCTGCAATATGTTGCGAGCTGTAACAAAGGCAAAATAACTATTAGGCGCTTTGCAGACGACGGGGCGGGGCGGGCCGGTCAATTTCGCCGCGAATAATAGCACAAAGTGAATCCTATACTTCAAACGCACACAGCGGTCAAAAAGACCGCGCCGCGGGTGCCCGGCGGGCAGTGGCGGCGCGGCAAGTGCGCGGCTGCCCGCCGTGGATCATACAAACCAGTTTATATGCAGTAACGCAGACAGCGGCGCGAGGCGGTCATGGACTATTCACTAGAACGAACGTTCTAAACTGACCGCCTCTGCCCGACGTGTGCTTTGTGTACGCGGCGCGGGCAGCCGCAGACATCGACGGGCAGACGCGGTCTTTATTGCTTCGCGGACAAAATGCCCGCCCCGTCCCGTCGTCTGCTCAACGCCTTATTAATTAGTAGAAAATAATAAAATTATGATAAGTACGTAACTAGAGATTGTGAGTGAACATGCGTAACATAACATAATATTATTAAGGCAGGCAAATGACTCTGTCCCGCCTAATGTATGCATCAATATATTAATATGTAAAGGTTGTGTGAGGTATTTGCGTAACAAAAGTTTATAAATAGAAGCGCACTGCTTCAACAGCAAAGCAGCAGCTGGGGTCGCCATATCGCTTCTCCTCTCTGACACATGAATGTCTAGTTTGAATTATTTCCGGGTTTCAGTGACATCGCGACAAGTCACATTTTAACATCAAAATGACACTATAAATATTATAGCTATTAAACGGGGTTGTTACCACGACCACGTACTTTGTTTTTTTATGAGTCTCCGATATTTCGGCACTGTTTAGTTAGCTATAATGTTAGTGACCTTGAAAGTTTAAAACAATATGACCCTGTTTATGATGAACAAACATTGGTATAGTGCGATAAAAACTTTATGGCATGCGTATGTGAAGTTAGCAGTGAGCGCAACTATGCGCACAGTGAAATAAATTGCCCACTGCACCGAAACTTGCGTTAACTTCACCGTTTTAATCGCACTCATTTATCATTTAACCATACGACTGATTTGGCTAAATGCACAAACCGTTCATGGCATAAAGGAAAAAAAGCATACGACGCCCACTGCTGAGCATTTGTCTATTACACTAAAACGTTGAAAAAGGATTATGTAAATAAAATTTTATGAGAAAAATACCCATGTTTTCCAGACATTACACACTTTTTGTTTTGTAGTAAAATTTTCTTAAGATTTATAGGTATATTACGTAGGATAATTTGATAAACCGAATTTTCACAATAACCTGGGAATTTGCGAAAACGCGGATAATTAGATAATGGCGATTTCTCAATGTAACTGAAAAAAGATAGGATTTTTGCGAAAATCAACCGAAATGTATGAAACGGCTGTTTTTTTTTCTCGATTTCAGAGTTGGTCCCAAAGTTTTTCCTGTTGATGGGTAGAATCACCCCCTAAGAGGTTGTTGGTGTTTTAAAATTAAGCCTGTATAATAACAGTTAAATGATTAAACTAAAAATATATATCTACAAAAGGCATTAATTAATACCTTGAAAGTAGCCAGTATCGTGCAGATCATCGGGCGTGGGCACGAAGGGTGGTTCTGCGCTTAACTGATTCTCCCAGTCCACGGTCCTGAACAACGGCATAGTCTTCACCTGCGTGGCTGCGGGGCGTTCTCGCGGTTCCATAGTAAGCAGCGCTTCTATGGCACCCACGGCCTCTTGAGACAACGCTTCGTCGCCTTCCGGCCATTCTATATCTGGATAAAAATAAACCAACACGTTGTTACATATTTTGTAAAAACGAGCAACATCACTGTAAACATGTTTGAAGTAAATTTTGGTACACTCACTTCTAGACAGAATGTTTTTGAAGACAGCTTGAGGAGTTTCATCATTAAAAGGAGGGACGCCAGTCATAAACTCGTATAAGCAGACACCTAGTGCCCACCAATCAACGGACGGGCCTTGACCTTTCCTGCATAAAATTATATTACTAAATAATTTGAACACAAAAATTATAATGAGCGCAGCAGCATAACAATTATTGTACATACTTTAATAATAATTCAGGCGCCAAATAATCAGGAGTGCCTAATAATACTTGATCGGAGATTTGGTTGCCTCGTCTTACACTTTTAGGTGTTCTGTATGGTGTATGTGCGGCAGCTAAGGGAGTTTTGCACAAGTCTGTTGGAGATTTTTCACTCTGGAAATAAAATGTGAAATGTTCACCTTAAGTCATCACCATTTTGAAGCTTGTAGCTGAATACAACTAACCTGCATTATGTACATTTAGATATAAAAATAGTGCTTTTAAAGTAAAAAAAAAACCCTTAAAAAAATATTACCTTACTCATTCTTCTTGCTGGAAATATTTCCAAACTGGTGGAGATATGTTTACTAAAAACTATGCTCTTTTCCTTTATGTTACTTATAATATCTGGCTTTTGGTCATCTTTGGGGAGGTTAAAACGAGTCTCTTTCAACCTCTTTTTAGCACCAGGTGATTTACTATTAGATACAGGAGTAGAAAATATGACTCCCACATTAAAATGATGACTATCGTCTATCGATGCCCATCTGGAACAAAAGCAAAAATTTTTATTATTGTCACGAACACTCTCGATCTACTCGCGACCCAACCTACATAAATAAGATGGTCCACTCAAACTCAAAAATTATTTATTCAGTCTAGGCTGTTACAAGCACTTGTGAAGGTCAGGAATATGAGCCTTGGCGGCGTAAGGATGAAAGTGCAATGACAGCTGCCTACGTGCGCGAGCACACGATGCGTTGCGGCGCCGCACCGCAAAGATTTCGCCGCATCGGTGGGCACACGAGCGGTGAGCCAACCCAGCAGCATACATTCTCTATGACGCATAAACAACTGAGCGGTGCCGCTCCGACGTCGCAACGCAGTCACCCCTCCCCGCCTCGTCTCGGTGGTTGCAAGGCCGGTGCGGCGCCGGAGCGCATCATATTAATATAATAATAATAATGCCACAGATATTTCTATGTAAGACGACGCAGCGACACCGCCCCGGCGCCGCAACGCATCGTGTGCATCGCAACGTATTATGTTAAGGATAAACGTGCCTACCTCTTTTTCAAGACACCTTTTATAGGATTTTTACGTCTTTCTGGCGTAGCATGTAATGCAATACGCTTAGGAGTATTCTGACTCAGCTCTATCGCCATTATTTCTTGTGTGAGTCCACTGTGATTCTGTTTGGAGTCAGCCAGACTTGTGACGCCAGTTGGTGTGTCCCCATCAACATCTAGAATTCTCTTTCTCTTTTTAGCCCTAAAACTGGAAAAAGGCTTAAGTAAATTTTCCTGAATGAATTCTTTATTTAGGTATGTCTAACAAATAATTATATTTTAAATTACCTGGGTATTCTTTTCAAAGAATTACCTCTACACACAGGTGAGGTAGACTCATCATGTTGTGAATCCGTTAACACTGTTGATTCTCCAGCAGACGAACCATTATTACTACTGATATCTGTGGATTTGTTGCTCCTGGAGTTGGTGCTATTCTTGGAGCTTTCGCAAGTGTGGAAGGAGCTCTGAGATTCTGAGCCAGAGTTTATTGACTGGAATGTAATTAATAAGCAATAAGGTTACTAAATTAATTTTAAATATACTCGTATTTTTGTAGATAATTGACTTGGTATATATTTATGCAAATACTTACAGGCACATCACCCAAATTAATACTCTCCGCACTCATAAAAGGATGTATGCCAGAAAGTTGAGAATGCTCCATGATTTGTGAATTTTCTAAAGAAGTTACCCCATCAAAAATTCCTTGAATTTTACCTGTAGTTTCAAAATGGTTTGGTTGTGCTTTTTAATATTATAGTGCGAAATATAAAAGTAAAGAATACAATTAAATAGTATCAGTTTCATTTTATTTCTATCTATTTCAGAAATATGTAGCAATAAACTCATACTAGTCTCTTTAAGCTCATCTAGGAGGTTCTCACAAGTGTCTGTAGATATGGCAGAGGTGTGCGTGCTGTCTCCTCCCCCAGAACCAAATGACAAATGAGATGTCAGTGACAAAAGCTGGCCTGGTGTCCTCATATTCAGACTTGGAGTTCTGTTTACAAAGTCTGATACCTCGAGATCTAGAACAAACTCACAATACAATGAATGTTTATCCTACTAATATTATTAACACGAAAATTTGTACGTTTGTTATTCAAGAACGCAAAACCTACTGAATGGATATGGATGAAATTTGGTACGCATATAGTTTATGACAAAGGATAAGTACGTTTTATATGGGAAAAATGTAAGGTTCCATTTTCAAAAAATCAAGCAAGTAATAAATAAAAAAATAAGGCGCCGTGGGTAGTCAAATCATCATTTTTGACGCTATTAATATAATACTATACATTAAAGGTACAATTCCGCAATGGGCTACAGACTGCAACCACAGGCGACACTGCGGCTAGCGCCTTCGGCTGACCGCAGTGCTGCCTGCGGTCGCGGCGGTTTCGGAGCACGTCGGCATGCCGCGGCTGCACAATGCTTAGAACCATGCCTTAGTCACTCAATGCCTTCGTGCGAGACAAAATGTCGGACAACGCTACCAATAATAAACTAGAAGCGTCTTTTGTTAGAAGTGGAACTTTGTGGGCCAAATAAAAGACCATATCTTTTTTGTTTAAGCATACAGAAACAATAATAAAAAATAAAATAAGTTGAACATAAAATTTGTCTATGGACCATTGGAATTCAAATAGTGTATACCTATTTAGATAGGTACTTACTATTTTTATTTAAGTTCTTTCCTATTGCTCTCCGTACATTATCTTTGATCAAATGATTGCGGTAATTTAGATCGGATGTGTCATAAAGGACTGGATGGCCAGAAACAAAGTTAATTAACTTCTTTTCATCAACATCCGAAAAAGACGTCATTTTTTAAATACGCGTGACCTATGCGGTTTGCAGTACCACTAGAACTGCAGTCTGCGGTCGCTGCTCGCTGCTTATATTTTGCTAGACAAAATTTCGATAGTTATTTAGTTTATTTTAATGAAACTATACTTTCGCGTCGTTACTGTTCATTCTGTGAGTAATTCTTGTAAGCTCAGTGACACTGTCAATGTCGGTTCTGTGCTTTGATTTTTCTCACGCATATTCAATTTGTTTACCATAAAAAATGTGTAAAACGCTATAAAAACAATTCAATGGAAAAGGATACGCTTGCAAGAACTACGAAAACATGCGGCAATGATTAGAGATCAAAAGAGAGCAAAAAAAAAGTACAATTATGTATTCTGTATACTAAAATACTAAGGTCCGATTTCCACTGACGCAGAGTCAAAACAAAATGTCAAATTAAAAGGTAGGTACTATATTATTTACAAATTATCTCACTTTTATAGTTCACTGTCAATGCTGACAATAAATGGGATGACTGACAGTAACCATCACAGTACAGTGGACAGAAGTTCACAAGCTGCTGCTTTCTAATTCAAAGTGTCAATCCTAACTAATATTATAAATGCGAAAGAGACTTTGTTACACAATCACAAAAAGCTAATACATATTTGGATTTGGATGAAATTTGGTATGCATATAATTTATAACCAGGATTTCAATCCTGTTAATTTATGTATCAACATAGGAAAATTGTTATCCCACAAAATTGTTAGGTTCCTGTGGGTTTCTCAAAAAAACAAAATTAATGCAGACAAAGTAACAGGAAGCGTCTAGTTAATGAATAAACATACTAATTCAAATATATATAAAAACTAGCTGTCCCAGCAAACTTCGTACCTACCTTACTACTTACTACCTTCGTAAAAAATAGGGGTTGGTTGTAGAAGAGTGAAAATTTAGGGCTGTCTGTATTTTTGTATGATGTATCATAATAAAATAAAGACAAAAAATTTTGTCCAAATAAAAACATTTAGTGGGATGAAAAATAGATGTTGTCTGATTCTCAGACCTACTGAATATGTATATAAAATTTCACGAAAATCGGTCGAGCCATTTCAGAGTAGTTCAATTGCGCACACCGTGATACGAGAATTTTATATATTAAAATGTAATAACAAACCTCTATGTATCTCAATTTTAGATAAACCAAAATCTGTGAGCTTAACATGGCCTGATTTAGATATTAATATATTATCAGGCTTTAAGTCCCTATGGACAATATTGTGCTTATGCAAATAATCTAAGGCCAATGTTATTTCAGAAACATAAAAAACAGCCATGGCTTCTTCTAAAAATCCATAAACACTGAGCAAAGACTTTAAGTCCCCTCCAACCATGTATTCCATAACCTGTAATAAAAAAAACAACACATTATTCTTGTCATTATATTACACAATCAGGTTATATTATACAAAATGTTTTAATAATTAATATACTATAGTATATACAATAATATACTATAGTATATTAATTATTAAAACATTTTGTAGTTTTATTTAACATCAGCCCTACTTAGATTTCCAGCACGATTTCAAGCAGGAATTCGATTCTGGCAGGGTTCTCTTAACTTAAAACTAAATTTAACATCAGTCTCTCCTTTGCATTCTGTATAATGAATGACAGGGATACACTGTTGTCAAATTTAAGTTTAGGTTTAGAAAATCATACCAGATTCGACACCATTGTCTATATTTGTTTCTAAGGTTTTCACACACATCACTCATTAAATAAAACTAGTTTTAACGGGTTAATGCACAAAACTTTATCTCAAATAAAAAATTCTGTATTCTGACGATGCAGACCTGAAAAGGCTGCGAAATGTCAATAAATAAATAAAGTTTCGTGCATTAACCCGTTAAAACTAGTTTTAACCATTGTCTATGTCACTTTTTGTATGGAAAGAGTCAGTTTGTTCATAGAAACTTTGACAATGCGCTACAATTACAGAGCTGTCAAAGTTAATTAAAAAATTGAGCCTCAGATCTAGCTAGGCCAAGCCGTGTGTGCTTTATGAGGTTTTAAGGAGCACAAGATGGTGAGTTTACTGTCAACCATTGATGACAAACATAATGTATTATACCATGAAATGTGTGCTAACTACTGCAACATTGAACTTCTTTGATATATATTCTACTGTTATTATATATGTGAAAGTTGGAATGTTTGTGTGTTTGTTTATTTGTTACTCAATCAAGATAAAACAACTAAAGGGAAATTTTACACACATGCGGCTTATTATCTGGATTGTGACATAGGACACTTTTTATCCTGAAAAGTTTTTGGGATTCTAAGGTATTCACATAAAAGTTAAGGTTATGACGATGAAGTCTAAACATTATAAATGCAAAAGTTTGAATGTTTGTTACATAATGCAAGCAACAGCTAGTTTTTTATATTTTAAATTGGTTGGTTCTGTGAGTGACTAAAAAGCACTCACAAAACCAAACCAAGTTAAAATTTTGGCAATTTTTAAAACATATCAATTACTAAAACCATTTTTTAAATTTTCAATAAACTTTTTAGACCAATAATAAATTAAATAAATGCTATATAAATAATAATCAAAGATTTATAATAAATTGTATAATAAATTATCTTACCAAGTAAACAGATGATGCTGATTGAAGGGAATAATAAAGGTGAACACAGAATGGACTCCTTGACAAGGCTAATGCATTTCTCTCAGTCACTACTTGTGTAACCATATTTTTGTTGATCATATCAGATTTCTTCATTACTTTGATTGCATACATAAGTTCTTTGTTATTCTTTTTGTGGGCTAAAAATACCTTTCCAAATGCTCCACGGCTTATAGGCTTCACAATTGTGAAATCATTTATATCAGGGGCCTAAAAAGAAGTATTAAAAATCATGCAACCATCAATATGTTATAAACTTAACAAATCAAGTAGGTATATGCCCCTTATTCCTCAACCAAACGTTTTTATTAGTTTTAATGTTCTTCCTAAAAGGAACCCAGATTTTTGTAATAGACCATTCTCTTAAGTTAGATTACAAATTTATTAGTTGTCCACAAATTACATAGTTACCTTGGTAATCACATTTTCGCTATCGGCGTTTATTTTTTCCAATATCGTATGACAAATGGATCCATCTTCTAACTTTGAATCGTTAGAAGCCATATTTATTTAAATTTTATAAAAACACAACAAGAAAACCATTTCAAAAGTTTGAAATTTAAATGCAACGAGCCTAACCTAAAAATAAAATTTAATTTGACAACAGTTATACCCTTGTCATTCTCCGTACAGAATAACAAAGAGAGACTGATGTCTGAGACTGAGTTTTGTCGAAAAAGTCGAGAACCAATTCAGAATCGACACCTTTTTTGTTTTTTTTTTGTTAAAGGGAGAATCCCTTTTCAGGGAAGGCAAGGGGAACAATGCCCATACAGCCTAGTCTTAAATTAAATTATTCTGTTTTTCTTAAGATTAAGTTATAAGAATGTCGGTGTGACGCTTAGACATAGAGAAAAGTAATACACCGCTTAGACCATTAAACCACAGGACTAGCCTCGCAAGATCTTTCCCCTCTGTCAAGGTATAAGATCAAATGATCCAGTGCGTTCATAAAAACTACTTACAATCGATAGATTTCCACAGTGTGAGAATCGTTATCGTAGTGACAACAGCCCGTGTCTCCTCGCAAAAAATGCTCACCTGTGCCACCGAATATATACACTACGCGAAAAGAAGCGACACTTAAGCATGTGTGTTCTTAAAATCGCCCGCGGCTATGTGTGGGTGTCTGGAGGTGCGCGGGGGCGTTGCGCGGCGCGCGTGACGTGGAGAGGGCAGTCGCCGACTGCCTCGACCGAAGGCATGGCGGCAGTAGCGAAATAGTAAAATAATGATGTCGATTCTGGCATGATTCTCTAAAGCTAAACTTAAATTTGACAACAGTGTATCTTTGTCATTCTCTTTACAGAATGAAAAGGACAGACTGATGTTAAATTTAGTTTTAAGTTTAGAGAATCCTGCCAGAATCGACACCAATAGCGTTGCACTGCATTGCACGCACAGACTGACTACGCAACGGAATCTTATTATTATTTAGATAATAATAAGAATTACAAAACGAATCGAAAAAGGAGAAAATATATAAAAGTTAGCAATTTGTTATAGTGCAAACCTATCCTTCATTATTTACCCCAGTATCCTTGAATCAGTTTACATTTAATAACTTACTATGCATAAATATTCATTGGCACAAGTCTAAATTCCAAGTTCAACCCTAGCGCATACACGCTCTTGCTCAAGGTCACTGACGCTGGAACTCTCACGTACAGAGAGTGTCACCGCTGTGCCTGTGCCCTTTTAACGTGCAAAAAAAGATCAAACACCTCTAATTTACAAAAAAAAACGGGATATCATTTCACATGTAAGTGTTTTTTCTATATTTTAGTGCTTTTTTTCAATTAAAAATGAATTTTACAATAATCGAGAATAGAAACTTGCAAGTAATCGAGTGAGATCCAATTCGAATATGTGCCGAAACATATTCATATGATTTTATACCTTATAATAGAAAAATAGAGTCCATTTTAGCGACCTTAACTATTTAAGAGCGAATATAGTCTCTATTGCATGCTCCCCACGTGACTTGCAAACGCACACCCCACGAGACTAAATTTTTAATTATCAAGTTTCGACCTTAGGCCCCGCATTTAAGATTCGAAATAAAAATTATATAACTTGAATTGAGTGTAGCGAGACTATTTATTTATGACTTTTAAGTGATGGGAAATAAAATTGAAAAAATAATATCGATAAAATGGTTTTTTGTTTTTTTGAATCCGTAAGACACATTTACTCAAAATTAATACATTTTTTTTTGTTTTTAAGCATGTAATGGCCGCGTCGAAATACTTCTAGCCATTCTTAAGCTGCAAGGCTCTCTCACGTCATCTCTTCGCATTGTAGGTAACCCACAATGTCAAATGAATACTTTTACAAGTATTAAACATTTGAAAGAAGAAATTGCAATTATAGTTATATTTTTTTAAAGCATGTAACTGTTTGATGTTTAAATCTAAAGAAAATATAATTAGAAAAAAGTACACGCGGAGCAGTCAGCAGACGGGACTCCAACCCGCACCCTTCGCTATCCGGGTGAATGCGCTGACCAATTATGCTACCGTGGCCCTGATGGCCGCGTCGAAATTCTTGTAGCCATACTTAAGCTGCAAGGCAGCGCCATCTCTTCGCATTGTAGGTAACCCACAATGTCAAATGAAAACTTTTACAAGTATTAAACATTAGAAAGAAGAAATTGCAATTATAGTTATAATTTTTTTTTAAGCATGTAACTGCTTGATATTTAAATCTAAAGAAAATATAACTAGAAAAAATAATAACACATGCTTGTGCGTGCTTGCGTATGTTATATGAACGTAACGTACGTATGTATTTTTATACATAAAAGCCAGAGTAGAGAAAAAATACGATAAGACAGCTGGTGGTTTCATGACGGTTTAGTAAAAATGAGTTTTTATACTTTAACATTGGAATGGTGGCAGGAGTGTTCTAAAAACAGACCAAATAAACCCAGACTTGAGGGATCTTTTTGGTAACATTGAAGAATTCACTATTCACCTCCTGGCTTCATTATCAGACTGGCTCAATGATATCAGATTATTGTATTGTCATCCAAATTACATACACTTACCAAGTTTTGAATCAATATGAAAATAAGAAGTAGATTGAATTCGACATTCCAGATTTGTTTACCTAGTTAATTACAAGTGAAGCTAATATAAGTGTGTTAAAATATGATAAGTTTTGACTCGTTTGCCATAAGCTCCTAAAAGATATGAAATCATCAACAGATCAAGATCTGTATTGAGAATAATTGTAATAATCATAATAATGTTAAATAAAAATGAGTGTAGAAGATTATTTGAGTTCATGTTGTACTTTTTTCAATAAAAGTTTTAATCTAATGTCTTAAAGTATTTTTTTTTTCATTTTAATTTACCTCTGGCCATTTACACTTACAGTAAGTAGCAATATTTTTTTATTGTCGAAATCGTTAAATTTAACACGCATTTCTGGACAAGTCTGTACCTATGTTGAAACGACTGTTTGACAGATAAAAAGAAATGAACATATATACATAAAACAAATGACATTTAAGATTTTCTCCCACGAAACGATTTTCTAAGTTTAGCAAAAATTATAAGTGATTGGGTAATTGTGCCAGTGGGAGTATTAAAAGACCCGGAGTAATTTTTTCCGTTGTCATATTTTTATTTTATAAAATAATCTTTGAGAACAAGAAAAACTATCGATATTGTTATTTAAAGAAAACTTTAATATCGATACCGAACTTTCCCTAGTTACGATTACTTGTGATTGTCATTAGTGTGCGTAGGTGAAAAAATATATTTAGCTACTAGCGTTCGTAAAGGATGCTAGGCAGGACTGGCCCACAGTTTAGAATAAACTACAATGTCACAATAATGCAGTGATGCACCCCCGTCGCTCTGCCACCTCCTGATAAGTACTCACCTTGTAATCATAATCATGTCTCACAGGCGTTACTGGTCCACAGCTTGATATAAGTCCACAAATATCCAGTGTTGGTGTAATATCACAATATTTCAGTGATGCATTTCAGTTTCTTCGATGCTTTTAGAAAGTGAACATAGATTATACATTAAAAATTACAAGTTAACTTTTATTAATAAATTATTAAGGAATAAGTCTAACAAATTTATATTGCATTGAAGAAAGTTTGTAGAATAGTCTGTTTTTAAGAGTAAAAAAAATGTTTCTGATGCTCGTACCACTTGTGATATCTTTGTTAGCATTGCTGAAGTGGACGTTCAGTAAAATTACTAGGTTCATTCTGTATTTGACCCTGTAAAGTTTATAAAAGATATTGTAATATAAATTTTTTTGAGATAATTATGACTATAGTAGAAATAAACTATGTTACAACACAGAAAATATTTTATTCATTGGCGAAAGGGCTGAGATGGAAAGCCAGGCAGACAATCATACCAGAATTGGAAATAGGAGCATTGGCACAGCATCCTGCAGCAACAGGCGTCATGTTTTAGTAGTTTTACAGGAAACTGTCAGCTGTAAATTGATGAGAACATACATAAACATAACTGGTTTATGGTGGGAGTCCAATCTTTACGTTTTGTTGCACTTATCCAAAGTTCCTTCATCTTAGCACATTTTGGAAGCCCATGAAATAATTAAAACACATAATGTAATTGCTTCTTGATTCTCGCATCCGTCTGCAAGATATCGCACAAAGAAATTTACAGGTTTTTAAAAATTGCCCACGTGCTACTATTCTCGTGAAAGGCACATGCAATATGTAGACAATCAATTCATTATAAATACGGTGACGTCACGTGGCTCTTGGCAGAGGGCACGCAAAATAACTGAGGTATAACCGAATTATTGTTTTGTAACTTGGTAAATACTTATCATTGTTTTTTTCTAGCGACTTCGGCCGCGTTAGGTTAGTTTTTTCCCCACAAAAACCTAACATTTTTCCGGGATATAAAGTATCCTATGTCTCAATCTAGGTCGAAAAATATATGCGTACTAAATATACAAATCTGTTAAACCTTTTAGCGTGAAACTGAAGTCTCAAACATCCATACAAACTTTTGAGTTTACAATATTAGTAGGATAGGATTGAAGTCAAACAAATACTGTTGGTTATATACTCATGTTATTGTACAGATGTATCGCAATGCGGGCGTGCCTCACGCATAAGTAAAATTTTAATTAAGCTTGGCATAAGCGCTTGCCCTTGTATGTGGACTCTGGTGAGGATGCTCCATATTCCAAATTTATGTATGTACGTACATACCTACTATATTTTGCGAAATACAATCATACTTACGTATTCCTTACATAAATAAATAAACATTTTTGAAATTTATGTTTTCGTTTTATTCATTCTATAAAATCAGCAACTCCTTGCAATATTGATAGAATTTTATTTTTTTTATACTTAGATGCATAGTTATTGGTAAATCAAATCAGGATCTTCAAATATAACACAAGGGAATTAAAAGAAAAAATACAGACACATCGTTTCCTTTTTAAAATCATAAAAAATAAATACATATTAATCTTCCATTCTGGATGCTGCAACGCATTGGCTAAAAGCTTGTACTAAAGATGAACACATAAGAGGTTGATGTGAATTGTCTTCATAACATTGTAAAATCTGTAATAAAT